CACTCTAGAGAGCACTACCGTCTTGAACAGTATCATCATCGGTAAAGCATCTCTAGTGTGAAAGGTTCTTGTTATCTAACCTGTCATTTTTCTTGCAGTTCTTACGGCTACTTTATTGTGTTCTTTAAAGGTAAGGTCTTCCCGACATGAGTACACCCAAATCCTTTACATTGCCTTTTCGTTCTCTTATGATTTGACTAAGTTTTGTACGGGGTTTCCGTTTTTATATTTTCATTTTTTTCCATAGCGCATGAGCTGGAACTTATCTTCGTTAAACACCATATTATTTTCTGTAGCCCATAGAAAGACCTGATTTACATCTGACTGGAGGCTTGCCTATTTTTCCGACAATATCTTTTGAACGCATTTTATGTGCAATAACACATAAAATTTGTCACATTTGCCAAAGGCTTTTACGAAATCTGTGTAAATTACATCAGCGTTTTGTTTGTATATCTTGTATACCACGTATACAAGAACCAGAACCTTGTATACCACGTATAGAAGGCCAATCCTGTAGTATGCAGCCCCTACATGGAGCCCGTACCGTGTCAAACACAAGACGAAACTGGAAAAAGTTCAGAGGTATGCCACTAGGCTAGTCTCAGAACTAAGAGGCATGAATTACGATGAAAGACTGCGTGAAATGCACCTCACGTTGCAGAAAGACAGAAGAGCTCGGGGAGACATGACTACTACATACAAAATTCTCAGGGGAGAATTGACAGGGTAGACAAAGATGTATTATTAAACATGGGTGGTACACGCACAAGGGGACACAGGTGGGAGCTGAGTACCCAAATAAATCAGAGACATTAGAAAGAACGTTTTCAGTGTCAGTAGTTAGTAAATGGAATGCACTATGAAGTAATGTGGTGGAGGCTGACTCCATACACAGTTTCAAATGTAGATATGATGGAGCTCAAGAAGCTCAGGAATCTGTACACCAGTAGATTGACGGTTGAGAGGCGGGACCAAAGAGCCAGAGCTCAACCCCCGCAAGCATAATTAGGTGAGTACATGAACAGCGCTCGGGGGGTCGTAGTCCTAAGGGCCTGCTTTCGTTTCCCAGCCGAGATGGAAACTAATGGGCAGATTTTTTTTCTCACCCTGATGCACCTGTTCACCAAGCAGTAAATAGATACCTGGGAGTTAGACAGTTGCTACGGGTTGCTTCCTGGCGATGTGTACGCGCGCGTGTTAGAGAGAAATATATCTAGTAGACATAATAGAGGAAAAATAGATTGATTAGAAAGGCGGGGTACAAGAGTATTATTGCATTATTATTACTAGTATAGTATAATAATAATTATTAGTTCACTGTATTACTTTTCAAGGTGGAGGAAAACAAAACAATTAAAGTCTGGGGGCCTGTTCAGACACCTTCCGCCGATTTCGTTGCAGTCGCCATGGAAGCAGACTTCCTTTTAATAGGAGCAATGGGGCCGACCCAGATCCACCCATGTTGGTCACGTACCCCTCACCAATCACTGCAAACTTGAATGAGGCTAGTCCTAAGTATCTGGCTTGCAACCTTGAACAGACATTCTAATATATTTAAAGCCCTACTGTATTTGGTTAGATAATTTGTTTTCAAGTAAAATGTTGTAGGTCTCTTCTGTGGTTAAAGTGAGCTTCTGGTTGACATACATCAGTGGACTTCTTTTAATAAATATTTTACTATATAATTTAAGGTGTGTAGGTTGGAGCTGGAGGGGAAGAAAGTACAGTAGTGCCATTAGTGAAAATTAAAGTTTAAAAAGGTTAGAAAAAATTGGTAAGTTACTGCTTTATATTATTAATAGAAGTGGTCTTAGTATGGTATCTTGTGGTACTCCTGTGGTTAATGGGGGATTAAGAGAAGTTATAGATATACTGTAGTTCAAAGAGAGGCCTTGAATTTATTAGTACTGAAGTTTATGTAGAAGGTTATTGTGAGTTATGGTATCGAATGCTTAAGTCAATAAATAGAATTACTGTAAATTAATTTTAAATAATGTCTGAATATATTAAGTTGAGATCTGAAGCCATTAAGCTATTTCATCTTTTAAAATATTTATAGTACAGTACTGGAAGATTAATCCAGACTACTTCTTTAAAGGGTCGAATGTAAAAGGAGAAGACACTCCTTCGGTAATGGGCCAATGGAATCACCTATCAGACATGATAGTTCTCAGATAAATTCAGATATAAATCTCTACGAGACTTATCGGTGATATAATAGGTAATTCGCGTAATGCCTAAGCACATTTGGTGCGTTCATGAGATGCTCATAATTTGAGATATTATCTGGTACATGACATTCACAAGAGAGAATGATTTTGATTTACATTACTATGAAAAACATTCTCTTGAGTGTCTTATGTAAAATACTGTATACACCATTCATGCCTTCATGGTGTATACAGTATTTTACAGAAGACACTCAAGAAACTGTTTTCATATTCATGTAAATCAAAATACTTATGTCTTGTAAATGTAATGTTATTGTTGCCAGATAATATAGTAGTTTTTTATTAGTAGTATCATTATTATTACTATTATTATTATTATTATTATTAATTATTATTACTATTATTCTTATTATTACTATCATAATTATTATTAATACTGTAGTAAAGTAGTATTATTATTACTATTTTTTTCATCATGGTTACTATTATTACAGTATTATTATTATTACTATTGTTATTACTATTATTATTACTATAATTACTGTTATTATTATTATTGCTATTATTATTATTATTATTATTATTATTATTATTATTATTGTTATTATTACTCTCTTATTGTTATTATTATTATTATTATTATTACTATTACTTTTATCATTGTTACTATTATTACAGTATTATTATTTTTATTATTATTATTACTATAATGATATTATTATTGTTGCTATCATTATTATTATGGCTGCTACTATTATTACTATTTTACTATTATTATTAATATTATTATGACTATTGTTACCATAACTATTATTTATTACCTAATGTATTAATATTACTGTATAGTAAATTTATTACTTTCCTTAAATTTTGTATTAGTTCTTTTTATTTAATATATTTATATTTTCCTCTTCATTTCTATTAGTATTATTAATTTATTTATTAATAACAATCTTTAATATTTTGTGTTGTGACAGTAAACTTTCTTTATTGATATTATCAATACTGAAATTTGATATAGTGACTTCAAAAAAATGTGAATACAGTACCTACTAAATATATATTCCCTGTAATCAGTTTTTCTGTATTTTCAATAAATATATTACTATTATTATTAATATTATTGCAGTGAGCCCTATTCCTTTATTTTAAAAATTTACATTACTAGTCATCTTACCATATTTATTAATATGACACTAATGCACAGTGTTATTAACTTTATTATTATATACATGCATATCAATAGGGCACTAGTATATGTTTCCTAGCAAGTTTTTCCTGAAATATTGCTGCAGGTGGCATTGTGAGAGGCGTGAGCCAGCGCTGTGTTTCACAGTCCTCCTGCCCACCCTGCCAACTTTGTGAACAAAAAATCCTGTACATGAAATGAGTCCTGTGATGAGGCCATGGAGGAATTATCAAGATCAATTCTTGGATGTATATTAGTAATAAACATTGATTTTTATCTGTTTTTATTGGTATATTTGGCATTGATAAGGTGAAATAAGTGTATCAGACATCAAGTGTTGTTGTATCCTTGAGATTATAGTAAGGTTTCAGGCAATTTAAGCGGGATTACGCATGCAGTAAAAGAAATTGCCGTTAAACCTAGCTAAGGCGCATGACAGAGAGCACAGTAGTCATATTTCATGGTTTATCGTAATATGTGAAGCGTTGCTGTACATCATTACTATACTAAGACGATTTTGATTAATAAACTTTGCTAATACTGGGACTTTATGATATTTATATCGGGTGCAAGGAGCTAGGCTGCGCGCCTATCTGCAATCCGTTAATCGTAGTTAATAATGCATATGACGCTTAAAATACAATTCTAAGAGGTAAACGATTTAAAAACTCTGCTCCTCAGTATTTCAACTTTTATTTAATTTTGTTTTACTCCTTATACTAAAAATCTAGACAACATACATTTCCAACATTCCACTATGCACTTATGCTGCAAGTGTAGCCAGAGTGCCTCAGACGAGCTGAGTGTGTAGAGCTGCCTCTGAGACACACTCAAGTCATTCACCACGTCATGAGGAGTCCCAGATGGGTGCTCCAACACTACAAAATTAAATGCCATACAATTGGGTTGTGTCAACAAACAAGTCCGAGCTGTCTGCTAGCTGGCCACTCAAGTGAGCACCATTAACACACGCGGTTTATTTAAAGTCACACACTCTATTACCCGTTTAATTATAGTCGAGTCCAATGACTATGGGAACGCTTAGTATATATCACTTTGAGGTTGAATCAACGGCTTAAATTCGCCTTCAAGCGGGATCACATGTAGAGTCGTTAATGTCCCATTGTAAATTAGCTCTACAGTGGGTGTGCAGTTACTCATTTTGGAGGAGCGGGTGGCGCTGGGGGTTGTATGTGGGCGTGTGTGGGTGGGCAGGTGGGTTGTGGGGTGCAGGTGGTGGGCGTGGGTGTGGGCGGCGGGGCGGCAGGAGGGTCGGGGCAGCAGCGGCCGCCCAATATAAGTGTGCACAGGTCGCGGTTCCCGTTCTCCCTCTCCGTCCCCAAGTTACCGCCATTTTGTTTTCGTGTTGGGTATTGACTTTCGCTTCTTCATGACTATTTTAGTAAGTTCGCCTCATCAAAGACATACAAACGCGACCGGTAGGGCCTTTTCACACCCATCAATGTAGCTGGAGTGGGCGTGGGGGCCGAAAACGGGCGTAGAGGCCTGGAGAAGCGGCCCAGCGCGAGGTAACAAAGACAGGATGTTTCCCCCAGATGAAGTCGCCTTTCAAAACAAACGGTTTCCTGGAGGGACGGAAATGATTATTGTCGTGGTCAGTTTAATAGTGTAAAAGTGTCAGTTGGCGTGGTGGGCGTTGAGGAGGTAGTGGGAGGCACCAGCGGCGGTAGACGTGAAGTGACGGGGTAAGATAGCGTGGGTGCGAGAGCAAGTTAGAGGCGAGTGATGGTCCGGGACACCTGAGATGGACCATAACAAACAGACGGGGACAGACAGGCCGTGGCGGGGATAACTGTCCTTCCTTGTCCTGTCCCTCCTGTCCCTCTCCGGGCCAAGGTGACGCCTCTCCCGGCCCCCTCTAGTGCCTCTCACCACCTGACAAGTGTTGACAAGTGAATGGTTGGGTCCTGAAGTGAGTTTGTAAACAATGTGTGTGTCTCTCACTCTCCAGTGTTACTGTTGTAGGGTGAAGGCATCAGGGCAGTATGGAGGAGGGTGATGCCAAGTATGTACTCCACACTCCTCCTGCCCCACCACCACTAGCAGTTGTGTCACAGTCACCTCTTGTGGTGCATAAATAAGCGTGTGATATGTGAAACAGCAAAGTGTGTGATGCTTGTCTAGTAAGAGTGGTGGTGAGGAGTGAGTGTGGGGGTCAGAGAGGATGGGCCTCACTATAGTGTCACTTACTAATTACTCACATCCTCCACAACATATCCCAAGTGTCATGAATATCCTTCAGGATGATTATCTTAGTGAAAGTAAAGTAAATGGGGATATACTGTAAATATGCTAATGTAAGGAATGAGGAATTGTTACGAGATATTTACCATTCGTGTCATTTGGGGAACCAGGAACAAATAGTAATATGTATATTCATGTAAATGTATAGTCATTTATTAAAGATAGAGTACAGTAAAATGGGAATGCTATACAATTGTAAATGATATATGTTTTTTCAATATATCTTCATTTGCTGCTTGATTTTGTGCTCAAGTTTATTCATAGTGCATGTGCAAAGAACCACTCATTCAGCTTGATTATACATTGTTAATAAGATCACTAATAGGTGGGTATTTGCTGTGTTATATTTACTATTACAGAGATACAGGCTAACACAGTACTGTATAGGCAATAGCCTTAAAACAAATTAAACAATTATGGAATAAGTGAGAAGGAAAGGCTACCAGTATTTACCTTAACTTTTTTAATGTTTCAAAATTAATAATTGTTTGTATAGTATAAGAAGAAAATTACCATCATTTACAATATTCCCCAAGTGTTTGTCCTAAATATACTGTTCAGTGTAAAACACTGAATTGTCATTAACATTTAATTTTTATGAAGTTCATCACAAATGTGGCACCACAAAATAGTACACAGCCTATTCATAGTTCTTGAATATATAAAGGTTTCTGTTGAATAAGGGCAGACATAATATGCATAATATTAACTCAGCTAGGTCACATAAGCATATTACTAGTGTTGTGATTTTGACTGTAGATTAGGTTAGCATTCAGTAAAAAACTCAGAATTTTGCAGGAAAGGTACCAAGACACTTTTTGGAAGTTGTGTGAGCAAATTATGTGTGGCTTTACAAATACAGCATTTATATATACGTGTGTGTGTGTGTACAGTATATAGATTGAATTTCTATATGCCTGTATAAATGGTTGTTCCTTACATTGTCTTGCAAGCTGTCATATGGGTGCTTATGCTCTGTGGACTCTTCATATGATTGTTTATTAATTTTGTTTTTTCACTCTGACGACATAGCAACTCTGTACATACAGTAGTCTGATTATTTAACATTGCATGCAGTACAAACCTTGGCTTTTTTATTTCTAGATAGCTTAAGTGTGTGTTTGTCTAGGTGTAAAATAACAAGATTAACTTATAAAAGCACATTTTAGGCTTCTTATAATGAAAGCATACAAGTACTGTACAGTACAGTATATATAACTAGACAAGATTTTGTTTGTGTGAATATAGAGGACTTTACATGATATGTAACTGAGTACTGGTATGTTGGAGAATTATTTATTGTATTGGCTAGGGTCTAGTTCAAGTCTTGACTGAGGGGGGGTAACATTTATTTCTACTGTAATTTAGATTGCAGTGTGTATAAGAATGCTGAGGTAGATGTATTCAAATACAATGTGTATTAAACCATGTACCAAGTAATTTTTGTTCTTGTTTCTGGAATACTGTGCCCTACTAGGTTAGGTAAAATTAGATTAGATTTGCTGTAGTTTGGCAAAGTCAAAGGACAGACTCGCCATTCTCTTTGACAGTAGAAAAATAAAGGTTTTCTGTGTACTGTAAATAACACAATGGTAGATGAAGTATCAAGTCCTAGGATTACTATTTCGGTAGCCATATAATGAACCTTTAAATTGAACACAATACAGTAGTATATAAGAGTAAAATACTGATTGGTAACTGGCCATCTTTAGATGGAATTGATCTGATTAAGTTGTGGATAACAAGTTAGTGATTTCTCCCACAATCAGTGAAAATTAAAATACAATTTGCCTTTAGAACTGTAATTTTGAAGTGTTATTGAATACATTAATGAACAAATCAACAAGGGCCATGATGAGGGTTCGAACCTACGCACGGGACGTTCCTAGTTGTGCCTAAGTCAGATGCTCGTTATATCATGTTATTGTGATTTCTGTGTGTAGTGAATACACTAATTGTTGTAGTGGACACTTAACTAAATTTAGGGTTTCTTCATGGCAGTTATTTAGAGATACAACATTGGCTGACTCTCCCAACATAGGCAAATTTTCATGGAAATATTTGTCTACTCCATGAGTAACCATCCTGGCACTTTTTAATTTTTGCACTTGTGTCTGCATGTAGGCTTATTACTTACACCGAGTTGTCAACACTACCATAGCTTAATTTACTACAGTACTGTAGTTTCCTTTTACACATGGTTATATCACTTTTGCTTTGACCATAACATCCAACATATTTGAGGTTTAACCTTCATAATATCAGGAAGAGTTGCTTTGCTTACTTTGTACTTGGTGCACATGGAACTACTGTATTCATATTCTTAATTACTGTATTGCTAGTTTCTACATAAAATCCATCATATGTTTCCTTTCTGGATTTCTCCTTGTAGAGGCCTTTATTGACTCAAATGGCCTACCTGTAATGGTATTTTGAGCCGTCATGGTGAAAGGAGGTTCAGTATTTTATGCAAACTCTAAGGAAAATGGTACTGTATACTATTCTCAGGGACAAGAAACCTGTTAGGGTTATTGAGATCTGGCCAACAACGAAGATGCCATTGCTGTCATCCATCCAGTTACTGGTAAAATCCAATAGAACTTAGCATGACTGACAAAATAATGTGCACGTCATCTGCTGATTGACACTATTGAAGGGGAGACTTCTCTCGTGCCTGCATCACAAACAGTGCTGGGTCCCTTTACAGTTACAGGTTGGCTAGAAAGGTCAAATATACTGTATCTACAGTGATTCTCTCTTGGTCTTTGATATGTTAATAACTAGTTAACAAATAGGTTAACTTAAATAGGAACTATATGGATCATGTAGCTCATTATCCATCAGTTGTCCATAAAAGAAAAAAGAAGAGATTCTTCTCTCTCCAAATAGATGCGATTCATAGGTTTTACTATAAAGCAAGTGAGGATTTAACCACTGTTTACTTTATTCAGCTATGTCAAATCCCGACGAGATCTATTACAAGTACTGTAACTGCTTATATGCTGCATTTAAAGTGCTTAATTAAGAGAGTTTTACATTTGCAACTTAAATGCAAAATTTAAGACTGTCGAGTTTAAAAATTCAAAAATTTTGTTTATTTACAGTACTGTACATATTTGTATTTTTGTTTGTTATAATTTTTTTTATATAGTTTTTATATTATCTGAATTTGGTTGTGAACACTGTTTCCTATTTAACATATCCTCAGTTTCCATTGTACAGTATATATTTTATACATTTTAGCTGTGTTCAGTTATTTTATTATGCCCCCAAACCCATCCTTTGAGCAATAGTGGGTAAGGTTACATAGGCATAATGGGCTCGGAAACTGAACCCCCAAATTCATTAACTAAGCAAATTACAGCCTTGATGAATTAGTTACATAGTTGAACATAGAGCACATATTTGTAATGGCTACCTAACCTTGAGGTGTTTTCGGGGCTTAGTGTCTCCGCGGCCTGGTCTTCGGCCAGGCTTCCTCGTTGCTGGACTGGTCAACCATGGCTGCTGGCTGCACTTTGTATCTTGGCCTCTCCTTAGTTTATTTAATTTGTTATGCACTCCATGCCCATCCTGTGAGCAGGAATGGAAAAGGTTACAGAGGTAGTTAAAGGATTCAGGAACTGAACCCCAAAATTTGTTTAGCTAAGCTATGTGTTATGACCCCTCGTAGTGCTAGGATCCCTTCTCAATAGTAAAAACACTTGACCATAAGTAAATATATCCAGGGTAGGGGAAAACTAGATGAAACAGACTACAATTTACTGTGTGAATTTATAACTTAGTGCATTAATTTTCACAAGTAATGAGGTAAGCAGAGACAAGAGGTTAACACTCGCATACCCACCTTAACAAATACTCGTTAACAAGTCACTTGGGGAGTTTATCAACACGCCAACAAAAATTAACACATCTAAAAATTATTTGTGTCCTAATTTTATATGGAATGTATATAATAGTGAACAATACTGACAGGGAACATAATACAGTGTCACTGTAGAGTTATGGCCCAGTGTATATTTAGGGTATACTTATATTTTGGTATACACTGGATCATAACAAATAGTTACTGCACTGATAATGTGGTCAGTGAATAGTTTTGTTCTTCGTATAATAGTGTACACATATATTTTTTGTCATTACTGCCAATTTTTTTTTGGCACTGCCAAATATTTAACAATTAAAACTCACTACAGAACCATTTTATTATTAGTTTTGTAAAGGTTGTGGCTGTTTCCAATATTGGGTTTATCAGCAATATAATTTTATTGACATTCCTTATACTGTAGTGACAAGAGGAAACGACTCTAATCTAATTCTTGTTGTTGATGACAGGAAGCCTGTACTATTTATATTGTAGACTTGTATAGAGATCACTTCCTAGATTGAAGTACCTGTACGAAAACTCCCAGGATGCAACCCACAACAGTTGTCTAACTTTAAGGTATCTATTTACTGTTAAGTGAATAGAGGCATCAAGTGAAACAAAACATTCCCAACCATTTCTATCTGTCCTGGGTATCGAACCTGTGATCCCCCCACTGAGAGTTGAGAACATAGACCACTAAGCATTGTTGCAATAGGCCTTTCATCATAAATACTCTATATCTATGAAGGTATCTGATGCACATTCTTGCTATGGGTCCCTCATTATAAGTGAGGTAACTTGTGCATTGACAAATATATTAAAGCAGCAGCATGTCTTCTGTAGTTTATTATTTTTATCTTTAAATCTTTTTGGGCTCATATTCTTAGGATACATGTTTGATGCTAATAAAAACAAAATATTGATTGTTCTTTCAATTGCAGGCATCATGGTAATTAGGAATACCATGAAGTGATCCTGTGCTTTCGTATGGAGCGTCAAGATCCATACAGCACCATGTCACAGCCCTCGTCAGATAAAAGCAGAGATCCTTACCATTCAACATATGCAGATCATCAGGTAGATTTATTGAGTGCAAATTTTTATATTTTGATGAATTGTAATAAATGTTCTGGGTATTCTTGGTTATGTCTTTATGCAAATTTATGTAAAGAACAGTTATAAATTATGTAAATACCTGTAGAGTAGTTAATGCATATAGTACAGCATTTATAGTTTAAGTATATGTTTTAATAAACCCTTGTACAGTATAATGAATATCAGGAACCTTAATTGAAAGTAAATTGCATCAATGCTTAATAAGAGAATTTTCTTAAATTTCATTGTGATTAATATAAAGGTACAGTATTAAATAATTATACGGTATTGCAGTACTGTATAAGAATTTCCGACTAGGGCCGGGATTAATTTTTCATAATAGTTAACTCACTTCTCTGAATACCTTCTCTCCTCCCATATATTGTTTAGCCTCATTTTCCTTAATATTATCATCAACCATCCTGTCTCCTAATCTTTTATATTGGCAGGAGTCGTGTAAGACTAGCAGTCAGAGTTGCAATGTATTTCTGTAGATAAACTCCAGTGATCATTGCTAATACTTGTGTAGGGTCTCGCTGTTCCCTCCAACTTTAGGCCAGCAAAAACATGGGAACTTAGTTTCAGGCTTAAAATTCAAAGAAATGGAGCCAGAGGATAGGATTTGTTATTGACTTTCAATAGATTATGTTGTATTATATGTCTAACATTTAAGATTTTCATAATTCATGTTTTGGAAGATTCTAAGAATTAGTTTTTATTTGAAAAATAATTACTGGGATGGCAACTGAAAATAAGGTTTATTGAGTGAAATTACATATTGTATGTAGTTATCTTTCATGGATCTATTGTTTCTCCAATGTAGTTACATCAATTCTGTTTCAATTTCCTTTTTGAGAATGTGTAAGTCCTCTTTGCTTTTGGATTTAAAACAGTTTTATGGTGTAATATATCCCTTCAACTTGATACACTTTAATATGTTAAGTCTGTAAATGATGAGTCACAATAAAGTGGCTGAATATATGTTGACTAAACCATACATCAGGTAATGAAAAGCGATGATGTTTCGGTCTGTCCTGGATCATTATCAAGTCATGAAATAAAATAGAGGAAGGGATAGGCAAATTAATAAGGTAAGAGAGCGAGATACTCCGCACCCCTCATCTCACCCTTACCTTATTTATTTGCCTGTCCCTTCTATTACACGACTTGATAATGGCCCAGGATGGAATGAGACGTCATTGTTTCTTCATTTTCTGATGTGTGGTTTGGTGGTCATTGTCTGAATTGAGGTTCATTTCTAGGATATGATGTTGAGTGAGGATGAGGAGGAGAGTGCCACACTGGCTGAGCCCATGACACTTGAGGGGGCAAAACAATTAGCACAGACATCTGTTGTAGTGCCAGCTACAACCCCAACTCCTCCAGCTGTCTCCTTGGCATCAGCTTCCCCTCCACCACATCCTCTTGTTGCTCCTCCACTCACATCTCCTCACCACTCGTCACATCACCATCACCACCACCACCACCATCTGACGTCGCCTCCACCCCCACCACCACCTCCCCCACACCACCACCATCACCACTTGACTTCACCGCCACCACCACCAACACACCACCACCTTACCTCACCGCCACCACCTCACCACCATCCGCATATAACACCCCCCCTGCCTCACCATCACCACATGTGGGGGCCACCTTCAGTAGCCCATGAAGAGGAAGAGGACGAGGAAGAGCCACAGGATTTACCTTCAACAGTGGATATACAAGCTATTCGAGTGAGTGTTATTTGTTTGCCAGATGGTTAGCGTAACCAAAATATTTGTAGTGCAGAATATTTGACACATTTTATTTTAGAAATTTAATTTGTATATACAGTACTGTACTAAAAAAATGTTTATACAATATGTTTTAAAAATTGAATTTCTATTATAATAATTTTAAAGATAAGATAATTTTAAAATTTGGATAAATAGTCTTAACAATCTAATCTAAACTTGTACAGTATGCTACTGTGTATTTAAAGCTGTCAAAAATAAGATTAAATTAATTTTAGCTAGCACTACAGTATCAGTATTGCACATTTAATTTAAAAAGAATTGATGAAGTTATTTTGCTTTAAGAAAGCACAAAATGTGTGCAATGATATAAGAGGAACACGAAGATAAGAGTTGTCGTTATATGTGATAACATTTACAAATAAAGAACTACTGTTATCTTGGTTTCACTTCATTATGAAGTGCTGGTAAAAATATATATATGTACATTTTCCTTGTTTGGCTAAATATTTTGGCATGCTGATCAAAGTGTAATCGGTAAGTTTTAGGAATTTAGAAAACACGACTGAATCCTCATCCCTGCAACATCCCAGTTTTTGGGACTGCATTATCTTTCCCTCTCATCATTATTAGCATAAAAACACCAGGTCGTCATTCTCAAGGATATCCTAGCTTCTGATCCCGTGTTGGAGAATTGTTTAGATTTATAGATTTTCCAAATTGATTGTGTCTGATTATATATGTAAAATGATCCTCAGACCTAACTAGTGGAATCCCAGAGACATCAAAAGTGGTCATTATGGTGGAAAAAAAAATGCACACACACAACAATCAGGTTCAATACAGAACAGAGTTTCCATAATGCCTAATCAGCAGAGAAGAGGTGTGGAATTACCTTGAATGATTCAATTTTTAATTATGTAAAATTATATGAGGTTGCTTTGTAGATATTGAAGTATATTGTCAAGTTTATATTCAGAATACTCTTACTCATTGCAAAGATAAATGCTTTCAAGTTGCGATGAAACTTTAAATATGGAACTTGGTATATTAATTTTTCTTGGTCATAGTCAGAGCCACTAGAGCCAAATCCATTGATGCAAACACGTTAGTGTGATTACTCTGGGTAATGAAAGAGGAGCGTCAGAGGTAGATCAAGTTTTAGATGGCAGGCTGGGATGGCAACTGGTGTGCATGGAGGGATTGTATGAAAATCCTGTTTTGGGTTCAGTAGAAGCCTCAGGAAATCCCTGTGTTCAAAAGACTTCCAGGTTACAATCCTTATTCCATTTCGAGGTCTAGTCGCTAGAAGTGGGTGCGTGGAAACACCCACTGCATAGGTTCGAACCCTCGTCACTGCTGCTACAGATTTTCTCACACTTGAATTATTGTAAAAAAAATAAAATGCCAGTCATACCCTAACAAATTGTTTCCACTTGTTCCTGCCTGTTAATACTACTTGCACATTCTTCATATAATACAATATTTTCTCATATACTGCATCTATCATTCCTGTCTACGTCAACTTTCTTTTCTCCTCAGATTCACTCATACTTTTTTTTTCACCACTCTTTAATTATCCATTTGTTCTACATGACCCTCCTAATGTAGAACACCATTCTCTAACTATATAGAACATTACTGTTATCATATCATAGTCAGGGTTTAATATATGCAGAGTGAAAACAGGAAAATATCTTTGAGCAATGCAAAAATTAGAACAGTTGTACATAGGAAGAACCTTAGATGTAAAATACACAAGGGAAGGGATATTTATCTCGTGCTAATTTGACTTTACATTCATAAAAACGTTTTCCCTACAATTTGTTGTTAAAAACAGGTTATTCTTGTGCTTGCATTAGTTCTTACCTTACATTGTTTGGGGGAAATTCCTACAAGTACTGTATAGACATTTGATATCGAGGCAAAGTAGGATTGTTCATTTTTAATATTAGTTTTTATTTCTAATGTTTTTGGCTATATTTAAAACATCATTCCCAGGCAGGTAGTTCTGCATACTGATACAATATTGCAATTCTATTCAGGACTCTCCGTCCCCCGATCATTCTAAAGGCCAGTTGGTGACAATAAATGAGAATTGGGACAGTGTTGAGGATCAAGACCGAGGTGATGAAGACTCTGATGCCTATGATTCTGATACTGATGGCTCCGAATCGGATTCGGATTCAAGGCTTAGCTCCAGGTCACGTTCAGCATCGAGGGAAAGTATCAAATCACGTTCTGTGTCAAGGTCCCCTTCACCAACAAACTCCAAGTCAGATAGTGGGAGCCAGGTAATTTTCTTTGATGTGTGTTTAGAAGGTTAGTCTTAGTTTTAATAACTTGTATCTTTCTGCACAACAAGGTGGATCATATTGTCTTGTGGTTTCATAATGAGTCTTTATTGTTGGTTTTCATCATCTCACTCTTACTTTTCCTTATTTTGATGTGCTTTTTTATATAATTCTTTCTACAGTTATTACCCTCTGTCTTGTTAGCCCCTAGGGTTATCATTTATTTTTATTGTTTCTTATTTTTCTCCAATGTGAAGTGTTAGCCAGCCTTCCTTATTCTCACGGTATTTTGGGTGTGTTAGTATTTATTATTTTCGCAGTAACATGAATATCTCAATGAAATAAGGATATGATAGCAGTTTCACTCGTGTAGGTCAATATCTCTGTAAAGTAAGCATTTGATGAAAGTTTCATGCATGCAGGTAGACTTGTGCAGAATTTATAGGTGCATATATAGTATTGTACTTTTGTAACTGAAATGAGTGCAGTTATATTTTTTTAAGAGCCAAATTATTTTACTATAATTTTGTATGTGCAACTTGTATTTACAGTATTTAGTAATGTTTAGAGGGATAAATATTCTTAAAATTTATTCTTAAAGATTCATACCGATTTTTCAAATTATGGTTTCAGGATTCTGATTCGGATAGCTCAGATTGGAGTGATAGTAGTTCCTCTGCTTCTGATGGTGAGAGGAAAAAGGAATATGAAGATGGTGATTCCAGTCCTATGAACAAACCGTTGCCAAGGAGAAAGCCACAGCTGACTGCACCTAAACTAACATTGAGTGAGGGGTTCGGAGGTGCTGTTAGGACTGATGGGAAAGTCAAGAATTCTCCAACATCTCCTATCCATAAATCATCCCAGCTGTACGAGAAGCATAAATCGTCACATTTGTTCACTTCTTCCTCTTGTGATTCAATAGCAACTGTTGGATTTGGTGTTGGTAAAGTTACTAAAGTTCCTGTGTTGGAGGAGAAAAAAACTGTCAAATCAAGCATTTTCAGTGATGATGAAACTAGTGACGGAGTTGATAGTGAGATAAATAAAACTGTACATAAAAGTATACATTTATCAAAAACTGATGAATTCAGACCATTGCAACCAGTGCCATTACCTAAAGGATCTGATAGTAGCTCAGTTGTTAGCGAGCAGATATCCGACAGTAGTCCGCATGTGGCGAAAGAAATGCTCACTAACGAAGCTAAAAGTGTAAGTGTTGTGATTCCTGGTCCTGTAGGCGAGCCAAAATCTGAAAAGAATGGTTCAGTTATCGAGGAAAACATCTCTAGGTCGAAAGGTGTAAGCGAAAGCAAACCCAGTGTGCCTCTTCTTGGGTTAAAGGTAGAAGAAACAAGAACAATTTCTTTTCAGCCTTATAAGAGAGATAGTGCATCACCACCAGAAAGGAAGTGTGATCTCACAGCTAGATGGGAGGAGAGTGACAAAGACAAAACTGAGGATGGAAGAAATATGCAAGTTTCTTTAGCAGAAGTGGAAGAGAGGAGACGGGAAAAGGAACTAGAATTAAATCGTGAATTTGACCGTTTACTTTTCAGCACAAAAAATCTAAATTTGCAACAAAATGAACAAAAAGCTTTAGTTTTGGGTAATAATTTTTCAAAGACTCCAGAAAAACCATGTAATGACTCTATGCCCAAATATAATAAAGTTTATGATTCTCCAAAATCAAGCAAAAGTGTGAACTCTGTATTATCTCAAAGCAACAGCTGGCAGCCTGACACAGTTTGTAATCCCAGTAAGAAAGAGACATCAGGCACTTCCATTGATCACTGTACTCAGACTTTTCACATAGAGAATGTTATAGATATAAAAGATAACGGTAATGATAAGAATAAAACAAAGGTAGAAAAAGATGCCTGGGAAGAGAAAAGAAAAGAGCCATGTAGTAGTGATGATAAATCAAGAGAGTTTATCAAGGACATGCCTGATAAAAAGGAAGTGGAGAGAGTGTATGTGCAAGACTGTAGCTCTGAAAGGACTTTAAATAAGGAAATAGCAACTGAAAGAAAAGTGGGTAGAGAATTAACGCTTGAAAGCAGATCACATAAGGATACAAGTAGTGAAAGAAATTCAAGTAGAGAATCAAATAGTGTTAAGAGAATATCTAAAGAACTGAACTCTGAAAAGAATCTGAATAAGGATACTAGTCCAGATAAACTTTCATTGAAAGAAATTAGTTCTGAGAAATGTTCAAATATAGAGTTCAATTCAGAAAGAAGACCAAGTCAACTATTATCTGAGAAGATAGTAAAAGATGTAAGTTGTGAAAAGAAAGTCAGTAAGGAGTTCAATAATTTAATAAAAAATAATTGTAATCCTTCGCTTGAATGGAGATCAACTAAGGAAATAATCTGTGATAAGCCAATGAAGGAAATTGATGTGGGCCATAAGTTGAAGAAAGACCTGTGTAAAGGTGGCCATGCTGATAAAAGATGCTCTAAAGATATTACTTGTGACAAAAAAATAAGAACTGAAGTTGTTGAAGAGGGGAAACCGAGCAAAGATGCCCATGCAGAGAGAAAACTGAGCAAAGATGCCCACGCAGAGAGAAAACTGAGCAAAGATACCCATGCAGAGAGAAGAGGTGTCAGAGATTCCTCCCTTGACAGAAGATCAAGTAAAGATCCTTCTCCAGAGAAGAGGAAAATTAAAGATGCCACTATAGAAAAGTCCCATGATACAGATGCTCATGATATAAAGGGTAATGAAGACGGTAACACTGACAAAAAATCTAACGGGGAGTCATCAGAAAGCAAATCGCTTGGCGAATTACCTTCAGAGAACATAATGAGCAAGAATGAGAGTACAGAAAAGATGCTTGATAAAGATAGTGCATCAGACAAGAGAGCTGGAAAAAATAATGAAAAGAAGCCAATTAAAGGTAACATCACAGAAAAGAAAACTAGTAGGGACTCGAGTAAGGAATCTGTTCCAGAAAAGAAAAATAAGACTGTGTCACATGAAAAAATCAGTAAGGAATCTAATATAGAGAAGCCAGCAAGTAAAGATTCTACTCCTGAAAAGAAATTGGTTAAGGATACTGCATATGAAAGAAAACCAAGCAAAGATAAAAAGCAGAGCAAGGAAACAGTTTTAGATAAGAAACAAAACAAGGACACCACCTTTGATAAAAAATCTGTTAAGGATTTTTCTGATGAAAAGAAATCAATTAAAAGTGTATCTCCTGAGAAACGAAGTAATAAAGCGTCCCATGAAAATCGCTTGAACAAAGAAACCATTTCAGATAAAAGATTGAACAAAGAGTTAACTAATGAGAAAAAGATTGGCAAAGAAAAATCTCCAGATCAAAGGTCTAATGCAGAAAATATTTCAGTCAGGAAATGTGACAGAGAACCTGGGACAGAGGAGAAAATTAAAGACTTGTTCTTAGAAAAGATAGCTAGTAGAGACATAAATTTAGAGAGGAAGTCTAGGAAAGAGTCCAGTTATGAAAAGAAACACAGGAAGGACTCTAGTTTTGATAAGAATCTTTGTAAGGAGCAATACTTGCAAGGTAGATATGATGCAGATATGAGTGTTAAAAGGATTTCTATCAATGAGCCTCTCTTTGAAAAGAAGTCAAGTAGAGAACCTGGTTTTGAGAAAAAATGTATGACTGAACTGAACATGAGTAAGTTGTCAAACCTTGAGCCAGGTTTTGAGAAGGGGACTATCCAGGAACTCGACTACATGAAAAGATCTGGTAAGGAGCACGTTTTGGGGAAAAATTCCCTTTCCTGTGAAAAATTAAGCAAAGTGTGTAATTTAGAGAAAAGTTTAAATAGGATACCTGAGCATAAGAAAAGATCTAGAAAAAAGAATAAAAGATTAATAGAAGAAAATTTTGAGGAGAAAAAATGCAGTAAAGAATCCTGCTCTCCAAGTGGAACTGATTTAAAAAGGGACTTGCCTGTTGAAATCACAAGTAATAAAGATATATCGCCAAAACAAAAAGCTCAAAATGAAAGGTGTGCTGATGATTCCAGTGAGAAATCTAAATTGTATAGGATAAATAAAATATTTGAAAACAATGAATTAATAAAAGTGTCCAACATTAGTTCATGTGAGTCAGACAAGACTGTTGTGTCAAATAAAGTGAACTACAATAGTGAAAGTGTTAGTAGTGTTAGTAAAAAAGACGACAAAGAGTCTGTTAGAACAGAAGAGTTGTTGCCTGTATGTACAAAGGGAAAAATAGACCCAGCAGAACAAAACGATAAATTGAATTACAAAAGTGTTAGTGAGAAAACATTCTCATGTGTTAGACCAACTATAGCAGATGTAGTGAAAGGTAGAGAAAGAAGAAAAAGTACAGAAACTGAGAAACTTAGTGGTAGTGAAAAGCGGAAAAAAGGTGACTCGTATAGAGAAGACACGTCAACAGATAGTGAAAGCTCGGAGGAACTTAATGAAAAAGTGGATTTGGACACAGAGCAGACCCAAACATTTTCTGTCAGCGAAAGTAATTTTAACCAGGTGAGTAGAGACAAATATTTTATGTTGCTATAACTGTGAATAATTAATGCTTAAAGCTTACATTAAGCAAAACAGAGATGTATATTATCATTGTAAGGTATGGGATTGAAAGCCGTATCCTAAAGTATCGCTAACAACCACTCTTACTTTCTTATAAATATTGTAAGTGCAGGGTCTATATTGTAATAATCACCAATTCTAACTACATGGGACAAGAAATACACCTTGGGGTACAATTTTACAAAAGGGTTTTTATTTAACAAATACCAGATTTCCTCACACTGATTAGAACAGGGGGGGGGGGAGGTGTACTTGGATCTACCACAGGATTGATACAGACAGGGTGGGGGGGGGGGAGGTTCCTGCTCCCTCTACAACCTGGGACTTAAGGTCATTACTCTATTCCACTCCTCTTAGGTCACTACAAAGGGACCGAGTTTTAACAATACACTATAACCACAATACACAAATGGATATACAAAATAAATGTGGATAACCCCCATGTGACACACAGCTGAGCACATACACCTGAATTAACAACACACCATTCTCCCTACACATAGGGTTCCAAAATTCTTATTTCCACAAATTCCTGTCTCTAACTCATAAAGAAAAAGGGCAGCACCGCTATAAACATCTATAATACTGCACCTATCGTATTTGTTGAAGACCTTCCACAACACTGGTCTTGTTCTCACTGCCTCTCTCTCCTAAGTGACTGATAGGGGCTTGCACATTTCCCAATACTTCATTTATATGTCTTATAATGTTCCAGGCTGTTTTCTACATTTAACACTGTTGTTTCTCTATATTTTCTTGCATTAAATCTGTTTGTTTTAACCATTTTATCCCTTTTGTTTACATTGGTTTTTAGGAGATTACATTTACCTGTTGAGATGATGCTCTGTACATCTGAAAGGGGTTAGAGTTCCACACTGTTTTTCAACATTTAACACTGCTATTTCTTCCTACACAAGGGTCTCTCTCTTACATCATGAACTAATATTATATACTTTAATGTAGTGTTATATCTGAGAAAACAAAATTATCCAACAAGAGTTGGAATATTGTTGAAGATTTCATGATGTTCATATTTTGTGACTTTTATCCTAGGCTGGGATAAAACACAGTTGGGTGATATTGCCCATGAAGGATGGATTGTATGGGGTAATTTTTGTAATTTTATGGCCTCAGATAAGGGCATGCATCTATCACATTTGAGAATGCAAAGCTAGACTCCTATGTCTGGAAGTTGATGAATAAATCGAGAAACAAAATGGAAATGGGGAGAATCCTTAAGGAAGGAAAGTTTGATGTACAAATCTAGGTTTATGCAAGATAAATCTGAAAGTGGGAATGATGTGTGAAGTGAGGGTGTATATGAGCAGGATTGAGAGAAACCAAAGAGTAGTAATGAAGGCATATGTCTTTTAATGAATAAATAGTAGTATGTATTTAACAGTAATTGCATAAGTGAATGATTTCTGATGTTTCGGTTCAAGGTTTTTGTGTGCTGTGAAATTTAAAAACGAAATTTTAAAGGTAGCTGTTGAGTGTATATGATCCATGGAATGACTAAAGTGAAAATATATATGAGATGTTTTGGTGGTGTTAACAAGATTGGTGAGATGCTCAGTGGTTACAGAACAACCGTGATGACTAGTTGAACTAGATTAGGGTCTCATAATGATGTGACAAATATAAATGAAACTCGGGGAAGAACTGGTTGTACTGTAAGCAAAAGATCGGTGTAATGCAAGGAACTGCAATGGAAACTGATTTGTATCACAATTTGTTTACAAAAGAAAACTCTGTTGCATGCAAACATTTGTACCAAGTGTCATTATGCTTATATTGGTTTAAATAATAGAGTATTTTTTGTGCATATTTTCTTAATCAAAATTGTTTGGGATTTTTTTTTTTTTTTAAATTATTGAGTTTTGTTTTTTGCATCGTATTCTGCTTCAGAAATCTATAATTATTTTCAATTGCAGTTGATCACAGGGATCTTACTACTGGATTAAGAATACTTCTGTTGCATCCAGATTTTTGGTAGCCAGGGGAGAGTACAAATAAATATTTTAAGACATGGTACAGGGTGAATGATGAAACGGTATAATTGACTACTATATGTACGTACTTAGGAAACGATATATGTTAATGCAGGCCAGTGTGATGCAAAAGCAGCAAAAGTAATATCTGTGGGTTTGTGTGATCACATGATACTGTAGTTGAAAAGTTCAGTGAGTAAGTGTTGGTTGACGAATATGAAAGGAGAGTTGATAATACTGTATGATTTTGAACTGGATTTTGTTTGGTTTACTCTTTGTGACCAGTTTTTCAAACAATTGAATATCCATAGATTCGTTTTACATCATTCATTTAGACCTACTTGTATGGGTTCTCATTTATGTATATTGTACAGTTCAAAGGCAGTTCACCTTTGAACTGTATACATGAACATTTATCAATGTTCATTTATACATCTGTGTTTTAGTTTTCTTCTATGGCTTTCATGATTTTATCATCAGGTTTGAGTAGGGTAAAGCTTGCCAATCTTTGGACACTTAAGGTTTAAGTTCATGGTGATTAACAATAAATGGTTATATTAGATTTATTGCAAAACTTATTATATGAATCAAAAAGAGATGATGCTCTTTAAAATGATACCGGAATGGATACTGTACATGCAGTACTTGGAGATATTAACAAAAATGGCAGTGGATGTGTCGTGAGACATCCAAAGATCCAGACACTGGTGCCATTCCCCTGACACAGACTTATCACTCACTTGCAAGGAAAATTCAAGAATATAACTATGTATATTATGGTCTGTATTATACCTCACTAGATTTCCATGCTATTAGGCAATACTCCAAGATAGCATACAGTATATACTTGGCTCTCAGGTGTTTGGTCTAGTGAGCGTTGAGAGAGTAGCAACAAGATACTGTAGATGGTAGGTATCTCAGTGTCGGTGGTTCATTTTTGGGAACCACTAAACATTAAAATTGGGTATTACTGGACCTGATAGCAGGGTGTGTGTGTCAATGTGTCGGTACAGTACTCTTCAGTGTTCTCACATTGCTTGGTGACCTTTATGAGGATCCTGGTGCTTGCTTTGACACTGGGGATGCCAAGGTTTAGGTAATCGTACCAAGCCTTTGAGAGAAACGACCGAGGTTATGACTCGCCTGGCTGCACCAGGTGAGTGAATGTCTAGCAGGCAGGTAGTACAGGTGACCTAGGTTTCCATCTGGTGACAGATGCATTAGAGCTGAGGTTGCAGATTTCAGGAATTCCTCTTTGTCAGTTTGGTCGATTCCTGTTATTGTTTTGTTAGTTGTGATCATATTGCCTCTATGACCAAACTACACACCAGAAGTTGAAGAAACGATGACATTTCGGTCTGTCCTGTTCCATTAACAAGTCGTATGTGTGATACTGGGTACATATCACCTCTTTTTCTTTTATCTTCTAGTTTTGGCATATTTAATGCCCTTGACCCTTCTTTTAAATTTTTTTCAGTTCTAGAAGCCATTGTGTCTGTGCAAAATGACCATTTGTTTGGATGCTGCCATTATTTTGGTGTAAATTTTATATTATAGTTTGTAAAGACATAATTTGTTTTCCATCTTACAGGGTCGGTTAACAATGAAAATAGCAGCAATGAAAATGGCAAAATTTGGGCGAACAGGTCTCCGGGAAGTGACTGGAGGAGCTCTGCCAACAAGATCAGATCTTCACACAACTCAACGTACAGAAAGCTCATTGAGTATGTCCTTTAGTCCATTTAGGCGACCTAGAACAGTACCTCAGAAGCCTCAGTCGGGTAATTCCCAACCCGAAACTCACAAAGTGAAGACGGCAGCTGAAAGAAAAACCTACATAGATGCTTTGCCACCCAATGGTTCGGTCCGCTCCGTCTCTTCCAAGGTTCATCGAAAAAAGGTAAGAACAGTTTTCTTTGATTATCTCCATGGCAAATAGCCCATTTGATTTCCTTGTTTATGCTTTAACATAGTGACTTGAAATTTTAGGTACAGTATATTGAAGAATGTTTTCTTGTATTGGGAAGATCTGAAGTTGGGTTTTGTAGTTTCAGCTCTCTTGCTTGTAGGTAAATATATATATATTTTTTTCTCCTGTTGCTCCTGCATATTGCTTATACAACCTGGACAATATATTCATCTGATAAAACACCATAACCTAGGATGTTTGCATCAAACATTAGCCACTACCTGGATGAGGTTCTGGGAGTCCTACTCTCCAAGCCCAGACCAGGGCCAGGCTTGGCCTGTGTATCCCTTGTCAATGTTTATGTCTTGCATTTTCTTTTGTATATCAGTTGACATGGAACGTATAAACTGGTGGAATTGTTTTTATTTTTTTGAGCTTGGTTTTTTATTATAAATGATGATTGTTTACTTTTTGGAGTTTGATCTGGACGTCTTGTCACTATAAATTATACACATGAATTGGGCAATGTATGTTTTTCCTAGATACTGTATAATATTTTGTTAAAAAATAAAGGAAGGATGGCCACTGTAGGCTCATGAATTTTTGTATTACTCTGTATCTAAAATTGTATTGATTTTAGTTACAAATCCACTATAATCACATTTTGGAAATAGATTTGACTGTCTGGGTACATAGATACATCCTGACAGGCTGGTGCAGTGTTCTCTGATTGTTCTCAGAGGTGCCTGGTTGTTCAGTATCCTCCTTGAAAGTATAAGAAATATTGCCAGAACAAAAGTGGAAGTCTTCAAGAAAAAACTGGACCTTTTTTTTTTTCTGCAAGAAGTGCTGGATATGTGAGTCTGTGGGCTGCTCCAAGCAGCAGCCTGTTGGACAGCAGCCTGTCACTGATCAAACCTGCCCCGGGCTGGGCTTGGAGAGTAGAACTCTCAGGAACCTCATCCAGGTAGTGGTCAATGTCTGATGCAAACATCCTAGGTTATGGTGTTTTATCAGATAAACATATGTCCAGTTTGTATAGGTGATATGCAGGAGCAACATGAGCAACAGGAGAAAAGAAAAAAATTAATATTAGACCTTAATATTGTCGTATATGAAATTGATAACTTTTTGAAGATATTTGGAAATTTATGTCTTGAAGATTACTAATTAATTTTTGCAGTTAAGATTCATACAAGGTCTTTTTATTGGTAAGGTCAGATCAGTTAAGAACCTGGCCACTATGGATAGCATTTTGTTGTCTCCTACATATCAGAACTGTGAAGAGGCTAGACCTACTGGGTACTCTGAGGCAAGACAAGGTTTAGACTCGGGAGGGGCAGGGCCTGGTGGGTACTCAGTGGCAGCACCCTCTCACTTAGATTTTTCATGTATGATAATTGTAGTTTAACCAAACCACCTGTAATTTATTTTTAAATGTAATATTGGGTTACCATACAGTATAGTTGATGTCAAACGAGGAGTTTATAATGTATGCATGTAATGCAAGTCAAATCCTTGAAAATATCTGTACCTCCTTTGATCATTCATGGCTGATAAGTCAATATTTTATCTCTACAAAGGTAAGTCTATATTATATACAGTATTTCCTATATACTATACTGTACATTATCGTTTTATTTATATGTAAATGAATTAGATGAATTTTATCGTGTGTATGTGTGTGTGTTTAAATTAGTAAAAACTGAGGTATTATTACTGATAAACAGAATGTAGAATATGCTTGGAAAATTTGACAAATTCAGTGCTGTATATTTGCATGCACCCAGTGGCCAAATTAATACTAGCAAACATTAATTCAGATTAGTGAAGAAGTTCTGTACAGTATTTTAATATATACAAGTGGTTTTTAATTTGCCCGTTGGTTACATTCCTGACAAACTTGGAAATCAAACTTTAAGGTATATGAGAATAGCAGGGTTAAGATCCAGAGATATTGACCTTTTTTTCCCTAACCTTATAAAACATATTTTAACATTATGATGTCATGTTCTCTCCAATTCTTAGCCACAAATTCAGCATATAATGACATGCAGAAGGCTTGTTATGCGCACTTATACATCAGCCCATCCTCTTGAGTGGTGATGTTACAAAAACTATGTAATAAATTGCCTGAACCTATCCTAACTGAGGACCCATGAATAGAAAATGTTTTTAAAGCTGAGCCTGTTCTTCAGTACCAGGAGGCAGTGAAATGCAGATGCTGTATACATTCAGTATTGGGCTGTTGTACTGTATTGGTGTCTAAAATTATCTAGCTTAAAGGGAAAAGATGTACTGTATTTCAAGTACACTATAAGTATACTAACACTTACCTTGCTTTACATTAGGAACTAAACAAATTAATTTTGACTGGCAGACGGTCTTAGCATGGTTTCTAGGTAGTATAGTTGGGTACTAAAGGGCCCCCTGCTTCTAAATTTCCTGTGACCTGGAAATTGGTACAGTATTCTTGTTGCATTCCTGTCTATTTTTTAGTATTTTTTTTTTGTTTACTTTTTGTATTTTATCTCATTTTGAAAGTGTTGTCTGAACTGCCTAAGTTGTGAACAGAAATCTGCAATGTTTTTATAGTTGGTATTACAGCTCATCTCGAGAGGTGAGTCAACATGGCCAACACTCTTTATCATTTACATTCATGAGTGTTTTATGATTGCCACCTCATCCATCACCTGAATACCTCTAACAGTGGCTGTAATTTTATCATCTATAAAGACCATACCCAGGGCCATCTGAATTTCCCTATAACCACTATACAGTACAAACTTTCTCTGTACTCTCCCTCCTGACTGGCATCTCCAAATATTCTTTCTAACAAAGGTTAGAAAGAACTGTTCATCCATCTCTTATCACCAATTATTAAGATTTAGAACAGAAGGGAGAAGACCTGGGCAGTGGTGTATCATAAACAATGAGGGTTAAAATTTGGTATATTTTATATTTATATATTTATTTATATATACAAGAGTTCTTACATTCTTGTAAAGTCACTAGCACTCATAGCGTTTCGGGTAAGTCCTTAACACTTTCACTTGTTAACAATGCAGTATGGCGTGCCAAATTTAGTAGATGAATGTTCGGTAACGACTCAATATGGCGTCAAAAATGTAATAAATTTGGCCTACTTTCGGCTTGGCTGCGGGAGGGGCGCACCGCGGTCTTGGACATTATATGCATATGCTCCTGTAGGGAATTCTATTGCGAACACAATGATAGCAAAATGAAAGACCTAAGATGAGAATTGAGGTGACCAAAGTGAAAAGAGTGTACACATTTTATTGCTCTCGCGCGCTCCCGGGTAACACGCTCTCACTTTGTTTTGTGCAGGTGGTATGCTGTGCTTTAGGGCTTTATGTGCATTTAATCCTGTAAAGAATTCTATTGCGAACACATTGATCTCAAATTGAAAAACCTAGGATGAGAATTGAGATGATAAAGTTGAAAAAAGTATACACTTTTCAGTATTTCCGCGTACTCCTGTGGAATGCCAGGCGCACCTTGGGGTGGCGCAGCGCTCTCTTGCCCGGAACGTGAAAATGTTAATCCAATTTTCCCCGGAATTCAACCTGCCAAATGGTTTAACAGCCAGGTACCCCATTCACTGCTGGATGAACAGAGGCTACTGGCAAGGATTGGCGCCCGGTCAATTCTCCCTGGCCAGGATACGAACCCAGGCCAAAGCACTTGCGAAAAGCTGGGCGAGTGTCTTACCACTGCACGAAGGGGACTGCCATATCTTTCGGCACACTTCGATTTGGATTATTTTCAGGAGTGTAACCTAGTCGTAGCTCGCCTGCTTGTGGTAACCTCGCAGGAACCTCGATTTTGTGTGATATAGGTGGTGTTTGTGCTGTTCGGGGTTTTCTGGCAGTTTTCGTTTAGAAATGCTTTGGTTTTAGAATTTTGTTGTTGTTGGGGTTTGCCATTGGTGTTTTGTTGAACATGTTCGAAGGGTGGTACCAGCTGTACCAAATTAAAAAAAATAAAGGTTGTAAAGTTGGCAAAAGCACAAAGCTGCACATTTTGCAATGATTGGTACAATATTAGTTGTGTGGAGTCGGATGGGCAAGACTAATTTTATGAGCAATTGGTGGTTTTGTGATAAACATGCACAGAGGTTCATGTAATTCTCCAAAAAAAGAAGATCGCCGATGATTTGTAAGGAAAGTTATTTAATAGTTTGACAGCTGAAATTCGTGATGTTTGCAGTGACTACCAAAAGACTGGACCCTCTGTAAAACAAGATGTATATTTTTACTAGTGAGATGCATGGGGTTTTGAGATTTTCTAAGAAACCTTTGCTGGTGAATTGAAGAAAACTTATGAAATTAAATTAGAGATGTGGCTCCTCTTAACACATGTGACATTGAAAGTGTAGATTATGGGAGAAGTGCTGTTGTTTCTGTTGACCAACTTACTGGCAATTCATGATATATTGAGTTCTGCTCCAGTGAAAAAGGAGAGGGGGAAACAATCATGCACTGGTGCTTAGTGTACCAACTGTAGAGGTGAAGCAGAGGGCCATGGCTTCTGTGCCTTCTTGCTTTGGTGCTAGTTCTTCATTTAACGTGTCCAACTCAAAAAAGATGGCAGCCAAAGTAATCGGGATAATATCCTCTCATCCTGATAGAATTGCCTCCATTATTCCTGCCTAGTGCTCAAAGATAAAAGTGCTCCCAGAAAGGGTCATAATTGTGAGCTTTGTAGTGCAAGAGCTAAAGGCAGTAGTGAGACAGTATTACTGAATTTTGTCCCTGAAATTCACAATGTTAATATGCATAAATGGGTATTATTTATGTGGAATCTTAAGCAGATACAGCAGTAATTCATTGTCATGGGACAAGCAGCCGGAGTGTATTCATCCACGTCAGGTTTATATCGAGATCTGCCATATCCCTTCCCCCCCCCCTCAATGTCAAATTACTGATCCCAAATTACTGTGGTAGGATGGTACATAAGGTACTTGACAC